AGAGAGAGAGAGAGAAAGTCGATGCGCGCGAACAAATATTCGCGATAATTAATGGAGTTATCCGTAAAAGCTCGTCAAAGTCGAGTCTGACGGATGTCGTGTCACGGCAGAATGACTCTCGAACAAATGTGCGCGCCGGAGAAGACGAGAATGAAACCGAGACGAATTGGCCTGCGGATCTCTCTATGCCTCGCGAACCTATCTGCCAAAGTCTCATTCGATGGCTGTACGCCCGCTTGTGAACGCTTGGCGGAGCATCTATCTGATTTTGGGAGATAGTTAGACTATGACAGCTGGCTCTTCCGCAAACGCAGCGCGGAAACTTCATAGCTGACGTGCCGAGGAGCTTGGATTTTACGCCATCGATCCAAAAAGCGGCGGTCGGACGACCGATCGCAAGCGACAATACCGATGCAAGGCGGTAAAAAGCGACACGGAAGATCGATCGGCGGTAAGACGACATAAGCATCGCGCAGAATCAGATCAATCATCCGTCCGGTTGCGAGCGAATAAGTCTTAGGATAGATCAGCGAAGCATCGTCCGTCCAAGAGTCATCCCTCGCAGCCCCTCTCATCAGCAATTCAATCGCCAAAAGTTTTACGACGAGGCTCACGCAGCCACTCCCCGCCAGTCTTTGCATCATTAATTTTTTATGCTCGGCGACGACGAGCAGTGCCAGGCAAAAAGAAAGCTCGAGTCTCATCGCCGCCATTAATCAAAGCTACCGTAGCCCTGCTGCGGAAGATACAGCCGTCGGAAGGAGAGCTTTTGTGTGTCCGATCCTACTTTCCCTTTTGTGTACAACTGATGGACAGACGCGCGCCGGTAATGCCCGTATATATAACATGAAATCAAAGCTTGGGAAAGCGAGTCTCTGTGTAAGGGGCTATAATAACGTGAGTCGGATGATTTTTCGTATTATACGATAGCTCTTGTAATACAACGCTGAATGGATGATGCTCCGCGACAATTAGGTTGTTCACTGTATTACAAACGATGTACTGTCGATGCGGATGCCGCATCATTATTACAACTAGCTCTGGCAAATTCATGGAAGAAGCTTTAAATTTCATCTCCACGTAATCTTCAGCCAGATCTGTTGAGTTTTAGAATACAAAATGAATTTGACATCCGCAAAGAGATCCCTCGAAAAAACTTAGGGATTTCAGGATTGGATTTTTACAGTGAGTTCAATTAACAATCAGAGCAAAAAGCGCAGTGTACCAGAACTGACCAAACAGCTTCTTAGTGCTTCGGCACGTAAACCGATCTTACTGTTCGATATGCACTGTGGGAAATATTTGCAACCAATAGATAAAAAGGATCTGACTGTGTATATGCAAAACAATATTCAGCTAGAGTCATAAGTAATTCGCAGTCCAAATACAAACTTACTGTGCTCCGTTATTTATCGCACAGTTTATTGATATCGTTATAAGATCGATATGTTTATTGGTAATGCTGTTCATTTGAGCTAATTTTATACGGCCTCGATCTACCATTTTCGAATTGTAAGGAATTAAAACTTTTTACATTAGGATAACGATAAAAAAACGTTTAGAAAGAATATTATACGAAGTTGTAATACTTGTATCAGATTAATGCATTCTCCATTAATGTACGCAACAATTTTATAGCAATCGAATCGGTAGTACTCTAGTCAAAATTCTTTATTTTTTATGAACAATTTTTTAACTTCGTACATCAACATTCCATGTGAAAATACAAAAACTTTAAATCCGAATTGAATTATTGTTTAATTTATTATATAAGAATGCCAGGCTGTTTCATAAGTATAAATTGAAAACTGTTCTGATCACATTCTATTTTTACCAAAATAATTGTCTGGAAATCATTTTCTTCGATAAAAGAAGGTAATTAAAACATGTAATCAGATTTTCCAAGGACTCATATTCCATTTGAATAATCCATGAAATGTACATTATATTTGTTTATATTTTTCTATGAAATAACATATTTTAATAATAATATTTTCTATGAAATAACGGTTGATTGAAAAAAATGATAAATGTGAAATGAATTCCACTCTAATCAAATTCAAAGTTAAGATTTCCAGTTTATAGAAGTAACGATTGACTTTCTCATATTTCGCGTTTACGTCTCCTTTCTTAAAAAAAGTGATGGCCTGAAAAGTGAAGCCAGTTTATTCTGATTGGCTGAAAGATAGTCACGTGATCAGCTGTTATGTGATAGTATATGCGTTACGTATGCTTATAAAAGATTACTATTTACTGCCGATTTTTGTAAATGATTAAACGATCTAAAAGTGTATCAGTATAGTTACCATGAATTTTATATGAATCAATTGATTTAATCATACTAACCTCAAAATTAAAACCAACTGATATGTACTTTAATATAGAGAAATTAAATAAACTTTATATATAAATCGATAGATTATCACAATAAAATATTGTACAATGATTAAGTTGCGTAAAATAATCAAAAATTTTTCTGAGAATGCACTAATTATAACTATAAATATTACCAATGTATGTTATTTATATCGTGAAAGATACGATTATAGAAAACTATAATGCTTTTGGAACTTATATTACATTTTTGTCATATTTTTTGATGATCTTGGAACCTAGAACTTCGAATGATTAAAATATAAAACTTTATATAATAAAATTTTTCAATCATGAGTATATAACTGCATATTTATTTATCAATAAATAGTGTTGTCGGGCATATATCATATTTACTAATGGGATTATTGAATTTTCGAATTTTCAATTTCGACAATAAATGTTCTAATCTATATTCGTATATTAAAATAAATGTGAAAAAAGAAGAATGAAGATAAATGCGCGAAGCACACTAGACGTCACTAGTATCCTCTTCTAAAGAAGGTATAATTAAAACAGAAATCATAGTATATGAGAACTAGTAAAACAGGTTCATACTCCTGCCGTAAAACCAGACATTGGTAATTTGAATTTTAAAGTCGATATTTTAATAAAGACTATACTCGATTCAACTTAAAATCAAACGCAGCTGGGTTAAATTAATATCGTAATCTTTATCGTCTATTTGATCATTTAAAAAATCGATTACTTACTAAAAGAAATTAGGGAATCAAGAAAGTCCTATTTCATTTTATAGAGAGAAAATGTTTTTAATTATCGTTCTATTAATATTACAAATCATGTTAAAGTATTCTGAAAAGTTAACGGAAAGACTTACCGTAAATATAAGAAATTTTCTTCAACTGATAATCTTAGTTTAATCTGTGAATGCCGGTTTAATTATACAGGACCATAAAAGATAATTCTTAGATTTAATTTTCTTTGCGTATAGGAGTTGCATTAGGATTCATTATTATTAAATAATTACGGAAATAAGTAATCAAAAAAAATCTCTTTTTCAACCATTTTACATTTCTTGTAGAATCCAATCAAATAAATTTCATGAAAAAATATCTTTTCAACGATTGACTATACTATTATAGGATTAAGTTCGATTGATAATTTAGAACATATCAGCTGGTAGGCATAGTCATTAATTATTTTATTTACTACATCGTTTTTGACTGTTTTCGTATAATGAACCATTTCATTTGTTCCAACGTCAACATGTACTTTCGGGAATGCGAAGTTACACGCAGATCACTTTATGAGGAATAAATCTCAAAAATGTAAAGGGCAAGCAAACACGAGAATACGTCAGGCCTCCTTTGTTATTGCCCATTTCTGAATAACAATATAAATGCTTAATTTCAAAACGATATATTGACAGAAATACACATGCTAACAGGAAGCGACATTTTTTAAATGAGAAATCAGGACAGAATGTCCACCTAAGATTTATTTATCTTTCCTTAAATATAAAAATAAAAGTTTGTTAATATAGCATGTATTTATTTGAATATGAGAATTTTTAGAAAATAAATCTCTCGAATTATTTATTGACGTATTAATATATATTACAATTTAATTCGAAAAAATAAATGTCTACCTCGCGTGACGTGATAATATAGTAAAACTTTTTGATACGACCTGTGGGAATCGTGATCCTACACGCGTGCTTTTCCAAACGAGCACGAAGATATGACTTCACGCACGGATAGAAAATAATTTTAGTGAAATGTCCGTAAATTTTGTTGCGATCAAATCATTTATTTTGGATAATTAGAAAGTTAACTTTTTTATTTTGCAGCGATCTCCCTATTCATGTTCTAAAGTATATTCAAAAATTATATTTTTAGCTTATATAAAAAGAGGATTCAAGTTTGAGAACTTTTGAATAGAAAATTATAATGTAACACTTACATAGTCTCTTTTGAGTTTATAAAGATTATCAGTTTACTTAAATATTATAGAATTTTAAACAATAGAACGTTTTTTTAATTGGATCTGTATTTCGATCGTAAATAATCGAATATATCACATAAATACTTTAATCTTAAATTCACGTTACAACAAATCTGTATTAGAACTACAATACTCTTCTTCCAGTTAGAAATATGTATAATCTATTGTTTTATGTGTTATTGTCAAATTTTTATCTGCAAAGTTATTTTAAATTTATCACAGCTCTCAAATGCGGTCCGTAGATTTTAATTAGCGACAAATGCAAAATATAATTATTACAAATATCCTAACGATAATGTTAAAATGATTCAAACATGACTATTTTGAAAAATAAATTGTATTTTCACACTTGATTCTGAAGTCTTGTACGCAAAGCGAATTTGATAATGTTGCCGTGTAAGATGCAGAAAATGTAGGAAAAATATTACCTAGTCAAATTATTATAAACTTTCAAGTTCATTTCCTACTGTCGACTCAATTTACAATCAGAACGATCAACTTATCGTGCCAGAACTGGCAAAACAAGTATACGTTTCTGGAGATGTGCCGCTGTTGTTTATTCATATACATTTCATCCGAGATTCCCAATAAGTTGGCAAAAGCCTCAAGATTCGATATAAAAGAAGCTGGTAGTTAAGCGCAAAACACAGTGAGAATTTGTCTACAGTGATGAGTAGATCGCAGTACAGGAACATGTTGGCCTTGCTTGCCTGCTGCTTGTTTGTGCATCTTATTAGCGTTGTTGTAGGAGTACCGCACGAAGGTAAATTTACTTGTGACACCACTGTTATGCACGGCTTTTTCCGATGTTTTCCTCCACTGAAACTCGCTGCCGTACGATTTTTAAATAAACGAATGCGATATTTCAGTTTTCTGCGAAGTTAACGGAAAATTTTACCGCGAAGGAGAACAATTCGCTTCGACCAGTAACCCTGATTTAACGTGTCAGTGTCGACGGGGTTATACAGGTATACATCGAACCACTCTTCAGGAACAATTTTGCGCAGGAATTTCATTCATACTCGTTTCTATCTACTTATTACAGGAAGAAATGTGGAGCCTTTTTGCCGACCTATCGAGCGTATTGTTGAAGATGACCATTCCAACAATAAGAATGATTATTCAACGGAAAATTGCGTCGAGATAACAAGAAATAGTGAATCGCCAAGGTACACTCATTATACCGAACAGTATAGATGTCGTAAGTAACGGGACAACCTTTTTTAAATTTATATGTATAATTTTTTGCGTAAAAAGCAATTACAAATTTTCATTTTAGCAAGTGATAAAGCACTCGTGCCAATTTCTATGACTGAAAATTTGAGAAGCATGAAAGATGGTAAGGACAAATTTTTTGATTGTAGCAATTCTGACTAATATTTTAATTTGTTTCAGAGAGATCAATATGTATTTTTGGTAGTAAAAAGTTAGGCATAGAGGATTTCTTTTATCATTCAATGATTGATGACACTAGGAACTGCGTAAAATGCACATGTGAGCGGCCACCAAAACCAACGTGCGTGAGGCCTCCCAATTGCCCTCTCGTTCATATAGTATAAATGTATAGACTAAGGAAAACCTGAAAATTTAAAAACAAATTGTTTACAACAAATCGCTATACTCACGAGAAGTATCAAGTATTATTATAAAATGAAGAAGTTACTTTAAACAAGCTACTTTCTGTTTATTTATTAGATTTTGAATTTAAGTACAGCTATGTAAATTCGATCGTAAAAAAATATGATTTTTATACACTAACTAATTGCTTTCTTTATTTCGGTTCTGATGAATTATGATTATAAGAAGTACTTTTTTAACAAAATATCGTCTCGAATTTATTGAACTATTGGTCATAAGTAATTTTGATGTTTTACGTGTATAAAAATAAACTGCTGTCCATTAAATTTCAAATGGTCAATTAATTAAGTTATTCTTTATTATATTATTTAAAATCTGTTTTTGATGGTTGAAATCAAACCTACAATAACAGAAATGCATCGAAACGTAATATATTGAGTTGAAAATTTTGTTAACCATCGGAGAAATATGAAGCTCTGTAATACGCCGCATGCTCTCGATCAACGCTACATTCCCGTTACCTACGAAATCTAAGAAAAAGCGAGGAGCGCCAGATCGATTCGAGCAGCCGTCATTGAAATATTCGTTCGCATCGTTAAGCGCGCGGTCGCGACAACAAAGTACCCCGGTAAACGAGTATATAAAAAAGAACGAGATAACAGCGCAAACGAACGCGAACCACCTCCTCCCCTCCTCCCACGTGCACCTAAGAATTTTCAATTGCACGTTACGCGCGAGCTGCTATACGATCGAGCGACGGCGAGGGAAGGGTGTGCACAAGCGTATATCGATCGCTTATGTATACATGCGTGCACGTATCCTACTACACTACTTGCCCCGAAGACAGGGGGAAGTTGGCGAAGGGTGCGGGTGCAGGTACTGCACGAGGTAGATAGACAAAGGAAATGCCAATTGTTTATTCAGCGAGCCGTGCTGCCTTGGCTTTTTACGCTTTTACTTCTTGTTTTGTAAGGCATTTATTAATGCTCACGAGTTGGATTGTAACTTATTTATTTTACCAGACTCGACACTGCCGTATAAGAATGAACTTTTTTTTTCAACGAATGATTTTTCCGTTAATAATTTGCCCTCGTCAATGTAATCGATCGTAAAATTCTCGTTAACATTCTGTAATTTTAGAGAAATGAGATCAAATTTCACATTTCATCACGTCGTTCAAAACTGCAATAGAATATTTATGCGTGATTGCATCGGGATCAATGAGACAGAACGATCCATTTCTGATAAGTGTGCAAGGGACTAGATTTGATTTACACAACGAATAAATCAGATCTGTGGATAAGAATTTGGCAATAAATCAGATGATCCAAGAGATTACAGGTTCAAAACTGCCATACACGTATTCGTATAGCTCGCGCAAGTATCTATATAAATAGACAATTTTTCACCGATTTCACGGGGCCCGTAACAACACGAGCTCCCGCTCTCTCGTCGAGTCAGCGGAATGAAAAAAGAAAGAAAAAAAAAAAATTACACATACGTATGACTGACCCCTCGCTTAGATCTGTCTGCGCGTCGGCCCCTTCTGCGGCATATCCACATTTCTGTTTTCCCAGCTTTCGCACGTGCCACGTCGGCCTCGTCTAGGAAGTTTTTCCAGATAGATCGAATCCGGAAGAGCGCGCGCGCGCGCTTTTGTCCCCTTTGATTTCATTTGGCGCTGCCACGGCGCATATCGTACGCCTATTCGGTGATTTATCTGCTACCCCGTATACTCGCTTATGGATTCTCCCTATTCTGTCTCTCTCTCTCTCTCTCTCTCTCTCTTTTGCTCTTTGCTTTCCTTTCGTGGGAGATTCTCCGCACAAATCACGGGCCAGCGATACAAGGGCTAAAATTGTCTTTTGTGAGCGCGGATGTAAGTAGGCGCACACGCGTGTGTTGGACTTCTCTCTCGCTCGTTCTCTCATCTTCTTTTTTTTTTTTTTTCTTTATGGGCTTCCCCGCGGAGCTCTCGCTTATCGATGATTTATTTCCGTCGAGGAGAGTCGTTTGATTAATGAGCTTTTTATCGTCTTTATTTTACTTCTTTTTTTGTTCGCGCCGCTCGAATGGAAAATATTTCGCAGAACATTTTAATGCGAACGTTGATTTGTTGGACTTAGCTTTTCTTATAGAAGCTGATCGAATACAATTCCTTATCAATTTTAATGTTTCTTTTTTCCCTTATTTTCTCGATCGCAAAACGTTACTGACATTCTGAAAATTTGATAAATTTTTCGTTCGTATTATTGAATGAAATCGTAAAACCAACGATGATTTTCATTACAAAAATTCTGTCTTGATAAGACTGAATTTTTTTCTAATTTCTTTTCCGTCGAAACGCATTTCACACGTCGGTAGAATCAACGTAATTATACGTTTCTTTTTACCATTGAAATGATCAAGGCATGCTCACACGGCCCTCATTCAGTTTACAGTTATAAGACCTTTGCGTGGATAATATAGATAACCTCGCGCGTACAAAACCAATTTACATATGAAAAAAAAGAACACAGCCTTTTTATTGCCTTTTTTTCATAAAACCATAATACACCTACGGTCACAATGCCGGTGTAACCTTGAAACACAGTATACCTGCGTGGTGGTGGAGAGAGAGAGAGAGAGAGAGAGAGAGAGAGGGAGAGAGAAAAAAAAAAGAGAGACTCCCCGGCGCACAGCGCCGAAAGCCTTTAAACAGCAATCGATTTCAAATTAGACCGGGAAACTGTATACGCACGCGACAGAGGAAGAAGGAAAAAACGCGACAAAGATTTACGAGTACGCGCCCGATAGAAATCTCTTCCTAGAACGGGACGCCTCCATTGCTCCTCGCGAATACACGTCTCGTGATATGACTATATACCCCCCCCCCCCCCCCCATCATTTTGGCAGTATTTTCTCTGCGCGCGAAATTTGGCCGAGTCACGTGTGTACTTTCCGGGCTTCTTTTGTACGCCGCGCTGTATATTTTTCGCCTTATCCCGCCGCGACCCTCCTACGAGTGTGTACATTTCGAGCAATTTGTTATCGTAAAGGCGAATGGGAAAAGGCTGTCTCGAGCCTTCTATCTTCATTATGAATGATTAATTAAAGTTCTTACCGTGGAATAATATCAATAAAAGAGAAGGCTGGATAAGTTAAGATAATCAGCAAAGAAATTACCTTCGGAGCTCCATCGAAACAGCGAAGGGGACATCGTGTTTTTTTTTTTATAATAATCGAGGAAGTAATGCTACGTACGTACTAAAATCTTTCTGTCGGAGATCTTTGTTGTCACTTCAAATTTCATATAGCCCCTACACTTAGGACGAATGATTAAAGCCGACCTTCAATAAAGCGAACAAATACCGTGGCAAGTTACATTCAATCAAACATCCCTTTGACCACTATACCAATGACAGTTATCTCGCGTAATGCCTCACCTTTGACGCCCAAATTCTAAAAGAAGAAGATTGAATACACCCAATCAACATGCCATTAATCCATGCAAATAATGAAAGGGGGGAAAGCAGAAACAACCCTTCGAAAACGCAAACTCAATAGGCTTAAAAGTTGAACCGCATTATTATCAAAAAGGAAGCTCCCTCAATGAGCTAATACCGTAATTTCAAGCCCCTACATCTCCGCGAAATTCATCTCCCCTCCTCCTGCGCGTGGTCATATGGCGCGAGGCATATATAGCATTGCGCGGTTATCTGTTGGCGAGCGTCGATGTGCTCGGCGATAAGGTAAACGAGCGCACGCACACACGACGGAGCAGGGGGAGAGTTTGGCGCAGACGTGGCGCCAGGCGTCGCGACGCTCAGACTGCCAGGGGCCGCGAGAGAAAGAGCTGACCGTGAACCAGAAGCCAAAGCTTAACTTTCTTTGGCTGCTTGCTTTGCCTTTATGTACTTTCTTCTTTTTTTGGCTCCTTCTCGCGTCTTTTCACTTTCGCGCGCAACCGAAGGGGGGGGGGCTTTGCTTGGAGTTTCGGCGGGACTTTAATTTTTTTTTTTTACGCAGCTCGACGAGATGCGCGTTTCCACGTGCCTCGGAAATCGAGCAGACTTTTTCGGGCTGCCAAACGCGGCTGAGCTGCGCAGAGGGCGGCCGCGGCGTCTTCGCTGTCTCCAATTGGCAGACTCGCCGCGAAGAAAGAAGATGCTCAAAAAGCGGATCTGGTTATTTTCAAGCTCGAGGCGCGTAAATATTTTGCGCGAGGCCCGTCTAATTCGAGACAATCGCGGGTTCCGCGAGAGCGTTCCCCGGCGCTCGTCGAGTTCCGCCGGAGCGGAAGGAGTAGTCGAAGAGAAACCCGACGAGACCCTGTGGCCCGAAAGGTTCGAGACTTCGAGTTCCGCGCTTTCGGCGTATCGCTGGCCGTTCACCCTCGCTTGCACTTGAATTTTCCGTTCGATATAGCAAAACCCTCGCGCGCGTATACGTGTGTGCCGCGGGGCGGGGGGAGGGGCGGGGTGGTACATCCGCGTGTTCGGTTTCGATCGATGCTGAACTTGGCTCGTGCCTTATTCCCGCCTCGCGTACGTGTGTTGCCTACCACGCAGGGAATTAATGCCCTGCATTAGACAAGAAGAAAGAGAGAGAGAGGAGGGGGGGAAGAAAACGAGATTAAGCCAGGCCTGATGGCGAATCGCGCGTTTTGTTTAGTCTGCTGCTTATAGCGGAAAATTAACGATTTGTTGTCTGTCTCTTGTTTTCTTTTTCTTCTTCTGCGTATCTGTCCGATGAATTTGATGAATTCTCGAATGAATGCCGCGACATTAACATGTGTCTTTTCCATAAAAATAACAGCGCTGATGGAATACATAATAGTTCTAAAAATAATGATTTCTAATCGTTAAGCAGCCTCTACGGGTAGATAGACTGCATCAAGGTTGTCGAGCTATTAATCAAACAAGCCGTCCCATTTAATCAAACATTAACGTCGAATATCGATATAAAGATTTGAACTTACATGCAACCTTTCGCGTCGAACCATGAAAGATTGCAAATGAAAAATGCTAATCGCTTTTTAAAAAATCCATTCAAGCCTCAGCTTATAGCTCATTCGATTTTATTTACGATCTAATAATTCGAGACACACACACATACCACGAACATCTCATTTGAATAGGATAATAGACAATTAGCGTCGGCGAATAAAAAAAAGCCGATTTTAAAATTAATGTAAACGAGCTACGCATCTGCATACCCTTGAGCATCTCGAAATATATCCGGTCGTTGCATAACGCATGTCCGGGCTGTGCACGTGAAACACTCCCACCGGCTATTAATTTCGAATTAGATACTTCGCGTTTCGGATATTACCGACTCAGTTAACGCTTATAGATAAGGCGTTTGGTAGCTCATTGAAAAGTCTTCAAGTAGCGCTCAGCACGAAATTAGCCGTAATTTTCCATGAGTGCTGCTAGACGGGGGACGGAAAATCGGCAAATGAACTTGAACAGCTATTAGGAAAAATTTTTCCATACTCATCTCTTAATGTTTCATACTAATTTGTTGAACAAATCTATTGATGTTGTATCTATTAATTATTTACATTAATGGATCACGCATTAGTTGATTCTTTGACGCTTTTCACTTATAAACTTACGAAAGATTAAGAATCTTGCGAGGATGTGTACATCGTCACGTGAGAATGTGAGTTCATTATTAAGTAGTAGTAAGCTTCAGCGTTGCAGGCCTTGAGAATAATCATTTATAATTTGTACTAATTGAGAATTTGAACTAATATTAGAATTCTGATAAAAAAACCATTCAATCTGTATATTAGACTGGCGCTAAATTTTAATTCTTTGGAACTAACAATCAATTACTTTAATATTATGAATGGAATGATTTGCTAAATTCAAATTAGATTCGATATATTGAAAGCTTTTGAATTTGTTCAGTAAAGTGGTTACTTCAGTGATTGGCGTATCAAAGTTACTGTAATGTCACGCCACGATTGAAATGATTTATTTTCATAGTTCTCACGGACTGGCAATCCACTCCGTTAAATTATACGCCAATCAAATGAAATATAAAGGAACAGGGAATTGAAAGTAAAATGCACAAGTTACGAATCAACTGAGTACAAATCAGCATGGAGTTACGAAGGAGATACAATTGTGCTGAGCAGATGTTTTCGAAGATCAAATGTATTCGAATTGCAAGTTCTTCTCAAGCTAATCAAATAGATAAACATGCAGCCCAATTAAAAACAAGTACGCAATTAAACCAGTTATGAGCGCAGTTCATGGAATCATAAAAATACACAATGCAAAGGTAAAATATCGAAGTCACTAACAGCAGATTTTAAAATCACCGAGATGATCAATAATATTGTTGCAATGTCGTTTACAACATTAAAAAAAAGTTGATTGTTAGCATCAACGATTGATTTACTTGGATTATTGTGTTGTTCAATAGGAATTCAATGAATCGTTACATTAATCGATGGTAACAATACTTTCCTCTTCGAATTTCGATGAGCCCTGCGACGAGAAACAACACATAAATATTGACATCCTGACTGAAGTTTGAGGCTGGAGCAAGCAAATAAGTCAGTCAGACTATGCTTATCAATGAATTAACGCGCATATCCGGGGAGTTTGATACTACGCAGTATCATAATTGTGACTTAATTGAATCACTTATAGTAGTAAATAAAATCTGCGTGTTTTTGGTAATTTATCAATAATCGCAACTCATCACATCTAGTTAGAACCTTTCTAAATTAGCATTAACAATTTCGGTTGCAGTCGCAAAATCGTCAATATAATACTTTTTTATTTGACGCAGCAAGTATATCTTTTGAAATAAGACTATCTTATCTTTGAATATTATCATATACTTAATCACCTTCTTGAATGTTCACCGATATTTCATTTGATGAATTCCAGGCAATCTTCAAACATCTGTTGAAGAACATACGCACGGTACATTCTTCTCTAAGTTATATTCAGATGGTAGCGATGAAGCTAGTGCTAATTTATTTCACTTTGTGTACGATGACATTGTGTTCATTTGGCGATGGATATCGAATACTTGGAGTATTTCCATACAGTGCAAAAAGTCAGAACATCGTTTTCGAAGCATTGATGAAAGGTTTGGCGAAACGCGGTCATCAGGTGGATGTGATTTCACATTATCCTCAAACGGAGCCCGTGAAAAATTACAATGTTATTATAAATCTCGAAGGGTCTATGGAAAACACGATGAATAATTTCACATTCCAATATATCGCTAACATAAATAACGATATTATTGCAAATATTGCTGATTTCTATGGTAATCGTCTCTGTCAATTCCTGGGCTCTGAACAAATACAAACTCTAATAAAAAATCCACCGAAAGATCCACCCTATAATCTTATAATTATAGGGGTATATAACTGATTTGATTTTTTATGAAAAAATTGAAAACGTCAACAATTTGACAAATTTGATCATTTGCAGGCTTTCGGGGCACATTGCTATTTCGGACTTGGGTATGTTTTCAATGTACCAGTCGTGGCTATTTCATCTTCAATGGAATATCCTTGGGTTAGCCATTTCATAGGAAACGATGAAAATCTCGCATACGTGCATAATACTTTTCACATTGGTATCGGCCGAATGAGTTTTATCGAACGTCTCAAAAATGTTATTAGCAATTATATTGCGGTACGTCGTTTTCATAAATTGACGGAAAAGATTCAAACAGATGCCATGCGAACATACTTACGCCCAAATATTCCCAACATCAGAGAAGTAGAAAGAAATATTGCTTTGACATTGGTGAACTCGCACCACGTGTTATTTGGAGTTAAGCCTATTGTACCATCTTTGATACAGATCGGAGGTTTACATGTCGAAGCGGGGAATGAAACGTTACCTGCAGTATATCTGATTTGTTCATAAAAATGAGGTAAAAGCATTTTCACGCAACATTTATTCAGTCACTGATATTTGCAGGAACTTAAAAAATGGATGGATGAAAGTTCAAGTGGAATAGTATATTTTTCTTTTGGATCGATGATTCTAATTGAGACCTTCCCTGCAAACCAATTACGAGAAATATTTGCTTCGATCGAAAAAATGTCACCTGTAAGAGTTTTGATCAAAATATTTAATAGTACTATGCTGTCTCAAAGCATACCTAGTAACGTGAAAATTATGCCTTGGATGCCACAACAAGCAGTTTTAGGTAAATTAAAATTCGTATTTAATAATAAATAAAATTTTTACTTGAGATTCTCGATGTAGCTCATCCAAATACGAAAGTATTCGTTACTCATGGAGGACTTGGAGGAACACAAGAAGCCCTTTACTACGGCGTACCTATGATAGGTATACCTTTGTTCGGTGATCAATTTCGCAATGTTCAATCGTTCGTTGAGAAACAAATGGGAGTAAAAATTGATTACAAGCAATTGAACGGCAAGACTATGGGCGCTGCCTTGACTGCTTTACTCCATAATCCTACTTACCAGTGAGAAATTCGTTTGTGCTCTCATTCGCCTTTAACAATCGACGAAATTCATTTCTTAATACATAGTTGTTTGTTACAGAGAAAAGGCCAAGTATTATTCAAAACTATTTCGAGACAATCCTATAAGACCAATGGATAAGGCAGCTTTTTGGATAGAGTATGTGATTAGAAATGGCGCTAACGTTTTGAAATCTCCAGCTCTAGAACTGTCTTTCCTGCAGTTATCTCTGCTAGATGTTTATTTAACTATATTGTTTTTTATAATAATTACTACATTTGTGTTGTGCTGGAATTTGAAAATGATTCTGCAGTTTCTTATACGAAAATATAGACATGTAGCTCCGGCCAATATTGTTAAAAAACGTGAATAAACGTGAACTCATTGAATAAGTGCAAATATAAAATGTTGCTTTTTAAGAGTTGACTAAATTATCATGCGAAACAATGTTTACCTTATATTTCTGTTATTTCGTGTATGATTATGAATTTCGAAAATAAACTTGAACGAATATCAGTTAAAAAACATAAGAAAAGCCGTGGAACATGAATTTTTTCTCAGCCTCGCGCGTAAATGCACTGCTCGCGGCGGTGACTTGCATACAGCCGAGAAAGAGAGGGAGAGAGAGAGAGAGAAGAGGCGTAAAAGCTACTTATCGCAAGTGCGTTGGTCGCCCGGCTGGAGCCGCGTCGGCAATCGTGCGACATTAACACTTTAACCTATACCCACACGCGCGCCGAGCTACGTATCGTAGGCAGCATACTGGGCCATTTTAAGTTATGCGCTCTAACAACCGGAGAGCTTTTAATGGACGATAAACTTGTCCATATAGCTAAAACGCGCTTCAAGGATCGTCTATCTTGCGCATTGTTTTTTTTTTTCGCTCAAGCTTATTTTATCTTTCCCGTTTAGAAAATAGAGGTTGAATATTTCTGCACTTAAAATTGAGAGGACAGAGTAGAAGTTAACGATTGAAATAGTTGATCGAATTTTTTTATATTATTTTCTGATTAGAATTGGAGAATTATAGATCCAGTTCCCATAAAAATGCATTGTACTAATCTGCTACTTCCGTTTCCATTCACGAAATTCTTTTCTTGGTTTTTTACGCAACAGAAACTAAAATGATCAATACACTTTTAATCAATTTAATAACCATATTATATAGGCATATTTATTCACTTTTTTTAACAATAACACTTATTCTTTTAAACGGGGAACTCCAGAATCAATTTCAAATTCTAGTACAACATAAGTAAAGTAATAATTATTAAAACAAGCAATATAATTGAGTAAACATCTATCAGAGCTAATTGCAGGAAAGATAGTGCAAGAAAATTTATTAAATAAAAAAAAATTATTAAATTTAAATAAAAACAGTTTTTAATAATACTTGGCTTTCTCCCTCTAACAAACAACTATATATTAAGAAATGAATTTCGTCAATTGTTAAAGGCGAATGACAGCACAAACGAATTTCTCATTGGTAAGTAGGATTATGGAGTAAAGCAGTCAAGGCAGCGCTCATAGTCTTGCCGTTCAATTGCTTGTAATCAATTTTTACTCCCATTTATTTCTCAACGAACGATTGACCATTGAGAAATTGATCACCGAACAAAGGTATACCTATCGTAGGTACGCCGCAGTAAAGGGCTTTTTGTGTTCCTCCAAGTCCTCCATGAGTAATGAATACTTTTTATTTGAATGAGATGCGTCGAAAATCATTTGTAAGTTTTTTTTAAATTATTTTATTCATTCACAAGAAATCAATGTCAAGTTACCTAAGATTGCGTGTTGCTGCATCTATGGCATAATCTTCACATTTTCAGCTATATTTGAAGGCAGTAACCTACTGTAAACTATTTTGATCACAACTTTTACAGGTGAAATTTTTGTGAACGTATATATCAAATATTTCCTTTAGAAACTTTGATAGCATAGTTTCAATAAGAATCATAGATCCAAATGAAAAATAAACTACTTCACTTCAGCTTTTATTCATCCAAATTTTAAGTTTCTACAGAAATATTAATTTAACAGATGCAGTTTTTAAAAATGTATTGATTCAAGTTAGACATACTGCAGGTCTCATTTTATTCCTCCCTTCAACGTATAAACCTCCAATTTGTATTAAAGATGCTATAATAGGCTTAACTCCGAATAACACATGGTATCAGTTCACCAATGTCAAAGCAACATTTCTTTCTACTTCTCTGATGTTGGGAATTTTTGGACTCAAATATATTCGCATGACATCTGTTTGAATGTTTTCCGTTAATTTATGGAAACGGCGTATCGCAAGATAATGACATTTTTCATCCTTTCGAAAAATGCACTTGCTTACTAACGATATAGTAATAATTTGGTAAATCAGTGGGATTATCGTCATTTACTATTAAGTGACTATTCTAAGGAAACTCCATTCCAGATGAAACAGCTACCCATTGGCACGTTAAAAGCATATCCAAACCCGAAATAACGATTAGAACCGAAAGCCTTCAAATGAAACTAATTTGTTAGAAGATCTTTATCTGATAAGACTTTATTTACTTCTGTAATTACAAGGTCATGGGGTGATTTTTCGGTGGATTCTTTATTAGTATTTGTATTTCTTCAAAACCGAGAAAATGACAATGTCGGTCACCAAATTGTCATTGCCTATCTGGTCAAAATGCTTGAAGGTAAAACAATTCGCAATATCATTCATTTCTCCATCAAGACTCACGATATCGGTATAATTTTCTAAAATTTCTTTTTGAGAATAATGTAAATTCACGTGAATTTGATGAGTTGATGACGCGTTTCGCTAAACCTTTCATCAACGCTTCGAAAAGGTTATTGTGGCTCCTTGCATTAAATGGAAACACTTTAGGTATTCGATATCCACCGCAAAATGTCGCCTATGTGATTGTAGAAAATATAAAGTAAATTAGTACCGGGTGATTTTTTTAAGCCATCTATTTAATAAGAATATACGCGTTACATGTAAACGCACGGCAGTTTAACAATTGACTAAAGTCAAGATTAGAATTCAGATGTTGAATAATATTGAGAATAGATAACGTCAAGGAAAAAATCTAAAAAGTAAAATGATAGCAATGTGATTTACTGTCAACTGCTTCGTATTGCATAAACATGATTGAAAATTAATCGACCACAATAATATGCTCAAGATTAATCTTTATTCCAAGTATGTTATTCATAAAAAAATGAAATAATTGAGCCACCACTTCAAATACTTGCTTGAGTTTAGCAATATTTTGCTGTTATTCGTCGAAAGGATTGGAAATATATTAATTGACATTTCAATTTTGAACACTTTCAAAAAAATTTATGAATTTCTAACAGCAATGAAAAAAATTAATTTTTTAATCATTTTATTATGCTGTGCTCATATGGTTCGAGTTCACATTTTTTATTAGCTACTGTAAGTATATAATATTACACTACGTAGTTAAGACAGTAAATATCATAACTGAATCTTACACTTTAATCTTCTATAAAGTAGGCTTTTATTATCTGCTTCTTCCAACATTTTTTAACAAATTACTGTACTAATTATTACAAGTAACTCAATGGGAAATAAAGAAATATATAGAGAACGTATTTATATGTACTCTTTTTCTTTACGAATCCTCAAAATCGTTATCTCCTTAATGACGTCCCTTTCGCTGCAAATGTATTCATCTGGAAGTTCAGAGTCAAATAAGCTGAAAAGGAAAATTGTTCTCCAGGAATTGAGGCAAATGACGATATCTTTGAACATTCGAAGAAAAGCATTGTTAGCTTTTTGTTTGTTCAATACATTACACAAATGCGGAATGAAATCTGTTAAGGCACACTGAAAAGAAATCAGCAGGATTCTTCTTCAAATAGCTCGCAGGAAAGATTTGTTCGTATTACAATAGGATTAGACAAGACCGGTATCAGGAAGATTCCCCTTTTTCTCAGTGTAAACAACGCTGCATAAGTTATTTTTGAATCTTGAAAATTAATGCGCTTTACTGGGCTTTCTGCTCGCCGAGTCATTTGCATAAAATAATTTTTCTAGGAACCATGCTCAAAGTACAATTCCAAGAGACTCGAAAAAAAAAAAAAAAAGAAAAAGAAATACCCGCGGACATTCGAAGACGAAACCTTTGGCGAGGAAAACCTGGAATAAGCACGAACGCGGCGTAGCGTGCCAAAAAATTTCATTGCGATAAAAGCGCGCGCAGTGTTTGCGCCACGAACAAACACAAACAAACAAACACGCGGCGAAACACGTTTTCGCGTCGCCGCTCGCGTGAACATTTTCGGCGAGCCTCGTTACTTATTCATTTATGCTTTTGGGCCAACGATTGGTCCCGAGGCGGAGGCGACTTTTCGGCGCTGCCTCGTTGCGCCTCGTATTTTTTACTACCAATTTTACGAGCTGGAGGCGTCGCGTTGGGCCTCGACTGCACGCGCGGATAACGAAGAGAAAAAAGGACAGTCGTTGTTTGAGCCTCGTTTCGTAAGGAGGCTCGTTTATTCCTTTCCGCGAATCTCGGTGAGCGAGTGCGAAGTCGAGGTGTCGAACGCATTCAAATGAAACGTCCACTCGACAGTGGTACACGGAGTTTCACGTAACGAAATCGCTCGACATAGTCGCACTTGCGCTTACGAAATGCAACGCACGTCGCGGATGAGATGACGCGGAATTGTAATGAACGAACCACCAAAGTGCAAGTTTCTTCTTCGCACGGGCAAACAGATACATAAATTCGCGGCTGTAGAAAGATGCTAATTTGGCATTTGGTAATTCCAATATTGACGTTCGAAGAATCGGATGGCCAGCTCCGAAGTGAAAAAGGAAGGAGAAAAAAAGAAAAGTCGCCGAAAATCCCGATGCGGTCGGTCGATACGCAACACTTGATTATCCGAGTTAAGAGTTAAAAGCACGAAATTGGATGGGGATTTTCAAGGCGCGGTCGGTAAAGTCCCTTTGTAGAGGGCGAGCAAAGCGCTCGTTCTTTTCCTTTCCTTTTTTCCGGAGACGCCGCGCGTCACGAAGAGCCGTCCCGAGAATTAATCCGGTGACGAGCCTTGACGCTCCCTTTCCGCGCGCGACAATTGGGCATCAACTTCACTCTCGCGATTAGCGCCTCGGACACGGGCGCGTGCCCACATGACGGGCGGAGGACGAGAGAGAGAGAGAGAGAGAGAGAGAGAGAGAGAGAGCAGTCATTATCATCGTGTTGTTACGCATGTGGGCGCGCCACCGCAGAAGAGACGGGAGCTGCGGGTGTAAGCGCTCCCGCGGGAACGTTTTGCACTCGGAGGACGCGGAGAAAAAGAACGAGTGCAGCTTCATCGAGACATTCCGACGAACGCGACCTTATATAAACGTCC